TTGCCTACTGGTGGTGGTCAGAGGGCCCGGTGGCGCCAGTGTCCGGCAGCCTCTCCTCTGTCAGTGCGCCCCAGGGTGGCTGTGGTTACAATGTAGCTTGCCATCACCAGTGTGCGAATGTGTGGATGACTGGATATGTAAAGCGCTTTGGGGTCCTTAGGGACTAGTAAAGCGCTATATAAATACAGGCAATTTATTTGATAACAATTGTGGTTATCACCAAAAAGGAAAGCATTTTCTCTCTACTTAGCACTGAAATAAACAGACTCGGGCATTCTGTCATAAATGTAAGTAAGTTTGCATGTTTTTAGGAATACAGTAGATGTGGTTTGCCTTAAAAATACCATTTTTCAGGGAAATGTTGTGTGAGTGCTGTCCATACTGAGACTGTGGCAAGGAAAAGTGTCTCCTGCCACATCTGCTGTCCTGTCCTTGTTTTACCTTCCTCACATTATGTCAAACTAGATGTGTTCAGCAGAGATCTCTGCTCCCACAGTGACATCCAGAATGCGCACCGACTCTGCCAAAGCCACAGTGTTTTGTGCTTCTCTGTGCAGGTGATACTAAACAGTGTTGACCTCTGAATTCAGTGATGTTAGATTCGGCTCATTTACCATAATACCGTTGCTTATTTTAGTAATTATACTTTATTTGTAGCTAGAGGTAGGAATGCCTTCAGCTTCCAATCCAAAATGTGATGAGTTCAGCAGCTATGAAGTACAGGAGTCTGTATAACATGTACCAGGAGAGCAAACCAGAGTGCATACCTTTCCTGTGCATCATCTCCTGCGGAGTTGATGTGTAAGCTGGAGACATTTAATTCATCACACCCACATGCACACAGAGAGCAGTTATAACAGTGCTTGAAAACCTACTTGTTCAAATGCAACAAAACTGCTGCGGTTTTTGTGAGACGCACTGCGTCATTTGTGCTTGGCTTCTATTTTGAGACATTTTATAGCCGTCTCAAACCAGAGGCTGCGGTTGATGTGTGTTAACTGCTCTTTGTTAAGCTTTTTAAGTCTGTCACTCAATGTGCAGATGAGGTTTTATCCAGACATAATGTTTTTATGTAGTCACATTGTTGGTAAGTCTTCATTCATTTTAATTATGAAGGCTTGATTTAAGTTTAGGTTAAGCTAAGCAACAGTATGTAAATGAATCTCAAGAAAGTAAATGGAAGTCAACATAAGAGTCCTTGGAAGTGAGAGAAACGCACTGTGTGTGATCACAGTGCACAGACAAACAGCTGGTCCTTTCAGCATTGCCCCTCCTCTGCTTACAGTGACTTCATCTTTGGGTTGTAGCCTGGTTGGCCACGTGTATGTTTTGCATATAGACCATATTAAAGAGTGTTTGCTGTACATATCTGTGTGTACAGTCTGTCCTCTGCCACCTACATGTACTGGGGGTTTCCTGACATGATTGCTCATACACATTACACAGCAGAGAGTGGGCAAACCAGCCACCAAGAACACACTGTTCCGTGGTCTGTATGTCATACACACACACGGAAGGAGCTATGATTAAAGGCTTTGGTCTGCATAAACACCAGCTCCATTAGACTTCTGAGACATCCAACCCTTTTAGATCTCAGCTGCTGTTTGTCCAGTTTGTCCCCGATTCATTCTGCATGCTTCAGTTCTGCTCTTCACTCAAGAGTCTAATTCTTAAACTTCTCAGACAAATTTGTTAAAGGAGCAGTTTTTTTGAAATCAGCATAGATGACTAAACTACAAGAGGAGTAAGCATGTTAACTGGGAAACAATTGCTCTTCGTTTTACGTTAAGAAATACGACTGTAACATGTCTTAAGCTGTTTTTGTATCTGCTCTGTACTTTTCTAGCCTTTAGAAGCCATAACCATTTGAATAATTGTCAGGGAAAAAAACAACATTCAGAAGATGCAGATGAGCAATCACTTGGTGACAGTGAGAAGAAGGGAGAAAAAAAACTCCTTTTGAACAGGAAGAAACCTCAGGTTCAGTGAGAGGCAGCCATCTGCCACAACCGACTGGCAGTGAGGGGAGGGAGACATGACAGAAGACAGATTAACCAATAGTGTGCAGTTTTCCTTCTTTCCCCAATTTTTCCAATCTGATATTCCAGGCAATATATTAGATTTACATTTGACTTTTGGACCATTTCACTAAGATTCCAAATATAATAAATGTTATGTTCCTTTGATTTTAACAGTTAATTGGTTTTCTTTAAAGGGGAAATTAGTACCCCCTTTAAAGTAGGAAAGTAGATGTTGAATCTGTCTAATGTGCCTTTATTTCTCCAGAGAATGACAAGCCTATGAAGGGCCTTCGTCAGGAAGACCTGGTGAACCAGGATCTGATCACAGAGCTGAGGAAAGAGTTTGGCATGACCTACGAGGAGTTCTACATGGTCCTCACAGACACTGACATGAGAGTCAAGGTAGAGACTTACTCTTTCTAAGCAGTATAGGAGGATTATGTGAAGGCTGTGGCTCTATAGTGTAGTGGTTTGCACATTTGCCTAACAGTGAAAGATCCCTATTTAAGTACCAGGAGGAGGAGAAAAAAAATCCCTTGACAGCTGTGTTGGGAAGAGCATCAAATACGCCAAATTAAACACAAGTATACCTTTTGTAGTGACTTGTGAATAATTTAATTCAGATTTAGGTAAATAGTGCCAGACCACAGTCTCATCAAGGCATGTTATATTGATAATAAAGGGGCAGCCAAAAGTAGCTAGAATGTGATGGGCAGCCCCATAACAGAATGGCCGTGCTGTGTAGATCAATTAGCTTGTTGAATACTTAAATTAATGCGGTGTGAATTTGGAAAGCATGTAAGTCAAGCAGTTTTTTCACTCTAAAATATAAAGATGTCCCCTAAATGAACCACACACACTCACGTCTTGATGCATTCTCAATCATCCAGGAGATGATTGGAGATTCACACACACTCATATTTTTTGTTTTGAAAAGAAGAGAGTTATAAACATATACTCACTGAATGTGACGGTGTCGAGGAAGAAGGTGGTGTGGTGAGCTTTTTTGAGAACTGTAGTTTCACGCTGTGATGAAATTCTTAAAAGTTACATGTTTTTGGGCAGCTCTTCTATTTCACACCAATTTCAAGTCCTGTTGGAGGGACTTGGGAATGCATTGCTGTCAATCAATAGCCTCTCAAAGAGCCATATAAATATACATGTGTGTACCCTTGTCCTTGCACAGCTGATTTAAATGGCTAAATAACTTCCTCAGCATGTCTTGCAGTTCTCCAGAGGCCTGGTAATGAACCAATCGTTTGATTCAGGTGTGTTGACCCAGGGTGAGATCTAAAACCTGCAGGACACCAGCCCCTGAGGCCTGGAGTTGGCTGACCCTTGTATAAAAGGCCCCAAAGTTCATAGGATAATTCTATTGGTGTTTGTAAGTTTATATAAGTTTATCTACTGTTCATTTAATATTCAATCTTCTGTCAGTTTGGGCCAGCCCACCGTATGGTGACATCATCCGGTTAGTAAGGTGGGCAGTTTAAGGTCCGATGAGCAGTGTTGGTCCGGTGGGGTGCACTGATTCCTGCGGGATGTTATGTAAAACCACACACATACACATGCAACTGTTTTACAGCCCCAGAAATTGAGTAGTGACAATAAAGTGCCTCAGACCGAACCTCAAGCTCCTTCTTCCCTACTCTGCGACAATTTGCCCTTATGTGGTGTTCTGGCTGACACACCAGGGTGACCGTAGTGCTCAAAGACTGAATCAGTGCCACAACCGTGCCTATCCTTGATATCTCCACTACAACCCTAATCTAGAGGAAATAATAATGAGAGAGAATAATCTTTAGCCTAAATATGAGAACTGTCATTAATGTACCTGTAAAGCTTGAAGCAGAGAGATAAACAGCTGTCAATATAGGCAAAGATAATGTGGATGGGCATACAGATATATCTAGTGTTCACTTGATATGTCTACACTTGGTTTCTACTCCAAATTAACTTTGTTTTAACTGTTGCAAGTGCTATGGTGAGATAGCAAAATTAAATGGTCTTGTTTTAGTAAAGTGTTAAGAAAACACAAAACAAGGTATTAAACAAAATAAATGAGTAAATATATATTTGTAATGCATCGGTGCCCAATAAACATGCAGTGAGGTACATACGTGTAAGCTAAACAGTCTAAACATATGATGTCAAAACCCTGTGACATTCCAAACAGCCTCAGCTCCGTGTTATGTTTAGGACTAATTAGTACATGCTAACAAGACGGTTAGCATGATAGTGATGTGTTGTCATTGTGAGTAACTATAATAGCAGGCTCACACTAACCTTTAGGTTCAAGCGCCACCATCAGTCTCAAAGAGCCTTTAACAAGCATTTGCAGTGTAAGCTCTTCTCAGTCAGCTGCACTGTAAATAGCTGACATGACACGAAGAGAAGAGAAGCAATGCAGGGAAATGGAAAACACTCATAAAAGATATCCCCCTGTAGATTAGGCCACGTAACATAGCCAGCATCGGTAAATGCTTCTTTTTAATGTCTGTTCTGACTCTGGGAAATAAATATTTGTAAAATATTGTGAAAGTGAAGGCAGTGCTGGGTATGGCTGTTACACATGTACATACAAACAATAAGAAGGAACCAAGCAGAGCAACAATGTAACCAATGCAAAGTGCCTTTGGATGCACACACACATCCAAAGGCATTTCTTTGGAAACAGGAAAAAACACAGAAGAAGACCCAGGAAAGCAGACACGTCATGGTTATTTCAAAACTAAGTTACAGTGTTATTGGACAAGACTGTTGCCATGTAGCATATTCACCAAGACTGCATGATCAGCTGTGTCAAAAGTCCTGCCTTCCTGGAACATAGCCTTAAGGGATTCAGTCACTGAATTGTGAAAGACCTCTAAATATACTATGGTATTTTGGCAGGGAGGATTTTAATCGTACTTTTTTACTTGCCCTTTCACATAGTCTTGACTAATACTTTTAAACAGCCTGCTGTTGGTCGGTTGGTCCTCTTCCAGTGTTCACTGATTCACAACTTATCTGCTTACACTTCCATTAAATCTTTCTCTTTTTCTCTGCCCTAATACTGCCAACATGGTGCTTTTACTAAAACACTGTTTAAATTTACACAACATGACATTTGCTCAACATCTGTGTATAAGAGTGTGTGTGCATGTGCCAGGATAAATCACCAGCCTGTTTTTCGGACAGATTCATCAAAGAGGCCAGTGTTCACATCCTCTGCTGTCAGCAGCAGAGACAGAGGAGTCTGTGAATGTACACGGATGTGGGTGTGTGTATTAGACAGAAAAAGGACAGAGAGCGCAGTGCAAGGAAAGGTGTGAAAGAATCAGAATGGCAACTTCAGCATGTCCTGAGGAAGATGTGCAAGTGTGTTACATTTTTGTGCGCGTTTCAGATGTTGGTGTTATGACCAGTTAGGATGAAATGAGATACTTGGTTTTGCTGCTTCCCAGAAGTTGTTACAAAGATTTGCTGGGATGTGGTAAAGCCCACACCACATTTACTAACATGCATAACTTCATATAATCACATTACTGGAAGGAGTTTCACCATTTTCATGCAGTGGATTTCTATTTTAATGCCCGCTGTACTGTAGTGTTACTTATTGTTTTATTTTTTGTCGACAGGGATTTTGATTTATTTATTCTGTGGTTTCACCTCGGACTCGACCTTTGGGAGAGTATGACTGGTTCTTGTCAATCTTGTTTGTCAGCAATCCTTTGAGGTTCCCATTGCCATGAAGGCTGTATTTAACTACATCGACACCTTCTCCTCCCGAATGCGAGAGATGGAGCAGCAGAAGAGAGATGGAGTGGTCTGTAAGAAGGAAGACAAGCCCAGATCTTTGGAAAACTTTCTCTCCAGGTGAGGATTTCTATGGAAATATAGGGCATGACCAAAACACTGTGGATGTACAAACATTAAAACCTTTTTTTCTGACAAAGACATCTTAAGAACTATCAGCAGGGATTTGCTGATATTCGCCCATGAGTGAGATTAGTAAATAAAGCCTGTAGACCCACTGATTCACTGATTCACTTGCTTTTAAAACCTTGCATTTTAGCATTATGGTGTGGTGTTTTTGGAGACACAATTCAGGTTGAGGTTGAGAAAGTTATTAGCTAACACTAGCAAGCTTGGTTAATAAGCTGCAATCATAAACTGTTCGGGGATCACACAAGAATGGATTTGTGTACAGGAATACTGCTGTGATTGTTTTACATTTTTAATTTTGATTATTTTAGTCATAGTCTTTTGAATATTTAGTTTTAGTCATAATTTAGGCATCTGAAATATTGTAGTTTCAGTCTATTTCTATTTTTAGTCTGTTAAATATCATTGAAAGTGTAAAGGTTTGTTTCCATCTTATTTTCCTTGATATCAAATGTGAAATGTGTGCATATGCTCACTCTCCTCTTCCTCCCAGGTTTCGATATTTTGTCACATTTTATGCACAGGGCAATTACCTCTGATTGGGTCACTTCCAAACTCGTCCCGCCTTTGTACACAGCTTAAATATTTCTGATTGGATCTCACATTTTTTATTTTTTTTAGACCAAAGTATCAATATATTCCATCGCACCTTTTTGTCTCGTGCACTAGTTTTTAGTTAGTTATTGTCTCCCTTTCATCATGAAAACAAAGGTAACTGACAAAAATTATGACAAAAATAATTGGTCTGTGAAATTAACACTGGATGCTGATGTAGCATTAACTTGTAGCTTAAAAATAACATGCACAAACCATTCCATGGGTGCAAGATTTCCATGACAAATTGAGGTATTCAGTACAGTTTCTATTACAACATTTTATTGAGATTGATGCCATATATAGGTTGTTCCCCCAAGGATCAATATAGTCTGTGTAGCTGGAATTACTGGGTGGTCCCATCATGCTGTGTCCACATCAGTCAAATATCTGTTGCAGTCAGCTGGACCACAATTAAATAATTCTGAGCAGCACTTGGCAGACTGCAGCAGCATGCATGTGTGTGTGTTCCATGAAAATCAAAAGTAACAAAAACCCTGCCATTCCTCAAGGCTGAATCATTTCAGTCACATTTTCTCCTGGAGATGTCTAAAGACAGGCTGTCTTTTGTTGCCATAGAGACCTGAATCCCCCCGAACACAGTGTAGAGATCTGGCAGGTTTTTGACCATAATTCCGGGTTGTCACCCTCTGGCAGTAATAAGGGGAATATGTAGCACACAAGCACAAACTCCTTGTCTTGGTACAGAGCTCTCACTGCGGGACCAAAGTGCCACTTAAATCCGGACTCAAATTTTCTGTGATTGCAGGTTCCGATGGAGACGTCGCCTGTTCATTATCTCCGCTCCCAACGACGAGGAGTGGGCCTATCAGCAGCAGCTCTACGCCCTCAACAGCCAAGCTTGCAATCTGGGTGAGTCACCAGAAGTCAACCAGTTTCACTTTTCAGAGGTCACTTCAGTTGCTAAAAGCTCAAATATGCTCGCCACCCAAGCTCTAATTGAGTCTCTCTGCTGCTTGGTGCTGTTTAGGTGGTGTAGGTTTTTTTCTCCAAAATCTGCTGCCTGCTGCAACCAAAAAACAAATCTATAAGAAACACAGTTGCAGGCTCAATGAACCAATTGTTAGTGTGATTAACACTCCTTAGTCTAATTTATCGTAAACGGTCACGATGTGCCTGTTCACTGTACTCTGTACCCTATAAGAAATGTTGTAAGAGATTGAACAACTGACCTTCCTATTAGTGGAAGATGCACAGCCGCCCATAACAATCTTCTGTTCCTGCAAGTCCGAAAGTACAAAGATTCATTTCCTGGGAAGAAATACCTAAAAGAGCAGAACTCTTTATGAAACTTCCCTCTGATGACATGTTTATTCCAAGGTGACCTTCTCTTCACACGGGCCTGTGTCATGTCCCTGCTTGCCAAAATGTTAGTCAGAATATTCATGAATATGTTAATCAAATGAAGAAGCAATGAAATCAAATGAACAAGTTATGTTTTTTTGTTTACTGCAACTTTCCAGACATTATCAGCCTGTGTTTATGCACATGAGCACTATGTGTGTGTTAATGCATGTTCACCAGTGGATGTGGAGAAGGATCCCAGATGACGGAACTGGCAAAAAACTGAACTGTTTTTCTTTTCCTCCCCTGGCAGGAGACTTTTCAGCCGGCCAGTTAGTCAATTTTTCCACAGCAACTTGAAAGTTATTACGGCACATCTCAAAAAGAGGCATTTGTCTCAACTTTGCAAATCTCAACAACCTGATACGTTTGACAGGTTTGTGGAAGACACGTGTAAACTTTAAATAGCCCACGGTGAACTTTCCTTCTCTGTGAAACCAAATAACTGCTGTCAGCAGGACTTTCTGCCCAAGATGAACCTCACGCTCTTGTTTTGTTTGCACAAGCTGAAGATTTTGGACATTTCTTCCTGGCTCCCTTCAGACTTTTGTTGCTTCTGCATATTCATACAGGTTAACATAGGCTGTAAAAAAACACTAAATGGTCTTTCACATGTATGAGCTTGACCTTGAGTCAGATGTTTTATTTGTAACAATCAGCCATTAAATCTACAATTACATTATATCAGTTTCTGACCTTAAGGGCTAGTGAACAAGATGACAAGTAATCTTTCACTGCCCTCTCTTTTTGAATGTTTCATGCCTGTTTCACCTTCAAACACACATACACTGTGTGTACACAGGGGCATTAAATAGGGGTTTATATTTAAGCCAAAGCAAATTTTTACAACCTTGCAATGATAAAAAATATTTTTAGCTTACTGTTGATCTGTGAAGCATTAACAGATTATTTATCATTTGTCCTAGCTTATAAAGCTCTCATGAAATATAACTTCCTAGAAAGTGCTACCATTTATCTGTTTGAGTGTACACTGGTTTTATTTAAGTCAAGTCAGATGATTGAAAAAATCAGCTTTTTTTGCTTTATCACTAGATCCAGTTTAGGTTCTACTGGGACTTTTTTCCCTTCATGTGTTGCTCTTGGCTGGTTTAGCACCCAGGGCTGCCCCCTCGCTCCCTCATCCCACACAAAGGCCTGTCCTGCTGACTGGGCTGAAGGCCTGAGAGGTTTGATCCTGGTATTCAGAACTTGGCGCTCACCAAGTGAAGCCAGCGTTCTCCTGTGTTTAACGTGGGCTTTCTCGCTTCAGAGGAAACAGCTTTTTTGGCAGGGCTTTCTGGACCACCATCACATTCTCCTCCCTTTACCTAGAGACCAGTGCTTAGGACAGTTCCAATAACAAATAAGTAACAATCAGCCTAAATAAGCAGACTGATAAGGAACAGTTGGTCAGCATACTGCTGTTCTCATTTGAAGTCATGCTGTTGTCTAAAAATTGTTTGCCTCATTCTGATGTCTTTTCAAAAAATGGTTGTCATGGTTACACAGGCCTGAGGCACATCGCCATTCTGAAGCTGGTTGGCACAGAGTCGGCAGATATGGGCGGAGTCTTGGAGCTCTATCCTATCAATGGTAAGAATATTTAATACAAAATAGTGAACAGATATATTTTCTGAAAGCTAAGGTCTCTACTTTTTTGGTATCTGAGTTCTGTGTGATAAGTTTAGAGGAAGAGGAAAATGTCGATGTGCTACATCTATTGTGAAATTCACTCTTTAATACGTTGTTCCTAACCTGATCCTCTGGTCCATCCAGGGAGTGCTACCGTGGAGCGTGAAGGGCTCTCAGCTACCCTCGTGAAGGACATGAGAAACTACTTCCAAATCAGCCCAGAATACTTCTCCATGCTGCTGGTGGGGAAGGATGGCAATGTCAAGTCCTGGTACCCCTCACCCATGTGGTCCATGGCCATTATCTATGACCTGGTAGACTCTATGCAGCTCCGCAGACAGGAGATGGCCATCCAGCAGTCACTTGGCATGCGCTGCCCTGAAGATGAATATGGTGGCTATGGTTACCATCAACATGGATACGAACACAGTTATCAGGATGGCTATCACCAGGGGTATGGTTACTAACAGGTGTGTGCTTTCCAATGATGCACACTGGCCTGCAGCTGGTCCTTGGTGCTACCTTCCTTTGGCCCAAAACCTTTTTGTGTCTTTCCCATCTCCCACCGGGCAGTTGGCACAGACGAGTATTTTGTAGCACTTAGTGAAGGGAAGAAAAATGCTTTCACATATCCAGTTCTTTAACATTCCCTATATAGCATAGTACGCTGCTTTATACTTAGCAGCGTCAGATCTGGTTAGTCAGTAAATTTATGGATGAACCTGAAGGTTCAAAGATGGATTGCGTACTTTAGTTTTTGCCGTGTTTTTTGTTTGTTTGTTTCAACTTAAAACATTATTGCATCGTCTGTCATCTCTAGCTGGCTTTTTTAGGTCAGACTTACATAGTTTCAGCACACACGTTGATTTTGTAGATAATAGAACATATTTATTGGACATCTGTTGCATTTGAAGTGCAGTTACCAATAATATTATTAAAAGTATCACATTATTTCTCTTTTGTAAAGTTTCTGTTGCTATACATTGTTTCTATTTATACTCTGTTTCTATATGGCTATATGAAAATAAACTTTTGTTTACTACCAGGTCCTTTAAATTATTTGTCTCTTTCAGTGCCAATGCACTGCAATAATCTTTTGAGCAACACCTCCCCCTAGTGGCAAAACTGGAAAGATATTTCCAAGTATATTTTAGTGGTCATGTAATGACTGAAACAACCTGCCGTACTTGAAATATCTACAGTAGTTTCAGACCTTCTCAACTAACTGTCCCCTCAATACAATCACATTTGCAAACACACTTTGTGAGTAAGAAGGGCTGGAATCCACCTACCCATTTTCTTCCACTTATCCAATTAAGGGCATGGGGAGGCTGGAGCATCTCTCAGCTGCCATAGAGCAAGAGACAGAGTTTGTATTAAACATGGCCAAAGTGTATGTACAAGTAAGTCTTGTTCATTTAAAGCTTAGACATCAGACTGCGTTACAGTCTCTTTTCTCTTGGATCTGTATAATGTTAGTGGGTGTGGAACACTGTTATTCAGCAGGTGGGTAAAATATCTAAGAGGAACTGATATTGAGCTAAAACAGCTATCAAGTATGTGCAAAGTAATAGAATAAAAACATGGAGTTAGAGCAGCTAGTACCCTTTAAGTCTTCCTCCAGAAAACCTCAGTATTTAAATAAATGCACATAAATTTATGACAAGACATCAGCGATTGTATTAAATTGCATTACTTGCACAGAAGTAAAACAACTCGCCATTTATTTTACAAGAAAATGCATTCACACGTGAGGATTTTAATGGCACAAACAACAATCTTTAGACAATGTTATTTTACAGTTTAACAAGAAAATATTCAAGCCCCAAGTAAGAGAAGCAGGGAGTTTGTGGTGCTGACAGAAAGTCAGGCATTAGTGGCAATTATATCAATACCACTTATTCTGGCTCAGAAAATAAACACCAATAGTCCAATGAAAATAATAGTCCAGGTGCCAGATGTATAAAACATTCATTTATATTTTTTGTTTCCACCTAATGTCGGGTGTACTAAATTTTAGCAAGCCTCCTATTATTTTGGGGGAAATTTGGGGTCCTATAAAAAGCTGCAGCTCTGCTTTCCTTTTTTCAACAATGAAAAACAACTTTTTTTTGCCTGTCGTAGTAATGTGAGTGGTATTTTCTTTCTTTCCCCTTTTACTTTGGACTTAATAGTTGCCTCTGTTCCTTTTTTCCTTTTGGTTGAGTTTCTTCTTTTGTGATTCCAGAATTGAGATCACAAAATAAAAGACAGTTTCTTTTATCCACCTTGATAAAAACTCTGCGTCCTCTTTGTGGTTCTATTCATCACCATGTGAAATTATTTGAGCTGCAAATGTCCAGACAGTTAAAGGAGCTCCTACATCCATTCATGACTGCAGAACGGAGTGGAAACAAGGCTGATGGACAAGAGTGGAGTTTCATGAAGACTGAAATTTAGGGGGGGGGATTTGCGTTGGACTGCCTCTTCCACAGTACAATACAAACCGAATTCATCATAGTGTGGATAAAGATTCAAAATCACTACAATTTCAAACAAATGTATTATCAAAACAATCTTGAAACTGCAGTTTCTGGTCCTTAGACGTCCAGCACCAGCAAGCAGTCAGATAGCAGCATGTACAACAGGAATCATGTAAAGAAATACACTGTGCATAAAAGAAATCCATAATGAATCCAAAAGTATCACTTATCACTTATTTTCCAACAAACAGCGTTGCTGGTACTTTCCCCCATATGAATGACAGCAGTCATCCACAGACAGGCACGTTTCCAAAATATACAGATTTTGCTAATTCTGTTATTAAACACCTTGTTTGTTTTTAATTCTAGGAGTCTATCATATAATCTAGCAACAGTATCTTTCACCGTTTACCTGCTCATCACTGTTCAAATAAATGCTTTCACAGACAATCTGTGACCATGTTCCATCCAGTCAATTGTGCAGTTCGACACCAGCAGCAGGAAAGATGCAGAGTATCCTCTGGATACTTCTAGCTCTATCATTACTACAAGGACTCTTCATCAGATTCACTGTCTGCATTTGCCTTTGTCAGGAGCTCGAGCTCCTCACCGTCCTGCAACACAAAAAAGAGACAAGGCATCAGAATGAATGCACAAGTGGTCAAATCCAGTGGACAAATCTGCAGACATTGAGGCACTGTGCACATCTTTTTTCTGTCTTCAGAAAGTGGAGGGCAGTATTTGCTCCCCGAAAAACACCGGGGAAGTACCGTGCATTTTAAAGCCACGGCTGCCAATGGAGAGGGTATTTTTGTTAGTGCTCTAGCAAAGAAACAAACACCTGAAACCTGGCATTTCACATGAATTACAGGGTTTCTTCAATACAGAACAGGACGCTGGGGGTGAAAAGAATTCCAGGATAGTATCCCCACAGACTACTGTATTGTTAAATAGCTTCTTCCATCAAAAAACACTTGACTACTAAAGGAATTATATGAAGTAAGGCTCCAGCATGAGCCTGAATGCTATTTTCATAGCTGGGAATCAGGTTTCCTCCTGCACTCAAGAAATGACATTACAGAGAAACAAGAGCCAAGTTTCCTGCAGAGCACTTGGTATGTGGGCGGGAGTAGAGGAAGTGGATATACATCGGGGTTAGGTGAGCGAAGTTGTGTGAGGAAAAGGAGTGTGTGGGCTTGTGTGCGTGACTACTGAGGATATGTGGTTTGTCTCCTACCCCTCTTGACCTCTCAAACACCTCCCCGTTGATGACCCGTAGTTTCTCTCGCTGCAGGCTATATTCCAGGTCCTTGTGCCAGCTGGCATTGTAGATAAAGATGGCCAGCAGGACTGTGGGTGCCTGGAAGAAGAAGTCCAGCGAAGGGTGGAAGTCAAAGAGGAAGAGGGAGAGGCCTGTGACCAGAACAGTAGTGATCTGGCCAGTCAGCACATGGAACATGTTGTCTCTGAATTTTAAGATGAAGGCCACGGATAAGCCCAGGGCAGCTAGGGAGAACACAGAAGATTATGAGTTCTTCAAATGCATACTAGAGATAGATAAATGAACTAGTCCAGTTAATAACAAATTACATCCAGCAGCTGGATTACTGTAGCTTAGCACTGATGCCAGAAGCAGGACCAAATACCCACCAGGTTCTGTTCAGAGGCATAAAACAACTCAAGTACCAGCAGCTTACAAGATCACAAGTTAAGATGATTTTGTCTGTAGACGACAGAAATTGTACAAAGTAGTGGTTTTGCATGCTACAGTTTTTTGGAGCTCCCACTCCGACCCCTCCTCTATTTACGCCAGCTTTCATCTGATTGGCTGCCCCTACATCTGAGCTTCTACAAACAGAACCAGGTGCTGCACCACTTCCTCTGCTTATCAATTTGACAGACTTCCTTCAACCCAGCCATCCCTTCCAGCTCATCCTGGAGGACACAGTATTCCCCAAGCCCGCTGAGACCTCCTCCCAGTAGGACATGGCCAAAAACACCTCACCTACCTAGGAGTCCAGGAGGAATCCTGGTTAGATGCCCCGAGTACCTCAACTGTCTTCTTTTGATGAACATATTTTCTCTTCCTCAAGCAACTTCTATAATCCACATGGACATGTTTGCATATAATTCAAAGCAGCAAACGAATTAAATTAAATTAGAGTGGACATCTCCAGCAACAGAAATGACAGTAGGAGATCTCAGTTCAATAAACATCACACTTATGCCTGCTTGATATTCATCTTCCAGTCATATGCTGTATAAAACAGTATTCAAATGTCCCTCTGATGTGAGAATGATGCACTACAGTGCTGACTGAAGTTATCAATCTTGTGATAGGCAGAAACACCAAAAGTTAAAAATGTTAAATGTAATTTTGTGGTCCCAATGACTGCATGATGTCCAAAAGTAGAATAAATGTTGAAGCTGTTTTGGTCCACTTTTGTTTAACACTGACATTTTGGAAGAAACTGACAAATCTGACCAATGGGGAAAGAAAAAATACAAATTTGTGATGACAGTGCGAGTCCTTAATCCACCATTACTCACCAGTGACCAGCACCAAGCCCAGGGAATAAATGTTATGTCCATGTAGGAGGCCACAGTGCATGGTGAGACCTCGTGCCTCGCTGTTGAGCCCAAGAGTCAGACCATTAAACACCACACCAAAGGCATACCTAAAAAACACGCAGTAAAAACGACTGATGTTAGCACCAAAGTCATCCACATGTCCTCTGCTTTCCCATTTTCTTCACAAGCAGCTTCTCACAGTTTACTGTTCTGTATGAAGATGCTTTCAGTGAGCTGCTCTCCTTCTTTGAGAATCTTCTCATTGTATATGTTGGCCATGGCAGAGATGAAGCACTGGAGGATGAGCAGGATGTGACCCACACCCAGAGATTGAAGCTTCGATACTACTTTGTCCCTCCAGGCCTGGCCGGGCAGGGTTGATGCCCATGATATACTGGCAGTGTAAAGGAACAAAGATGTGAAAAAGCGTATTTAATGTAACGTGTACATTACAGTATTTCACTGTAGATTAATAAATAATACAAAAATGTTATCAAGTTGCAAAAGAAGTGCTCAGAATTTCCCAAAGCTCTCTGCGCCATTTTACTTACAGAATACTTTCTCGATGCAGCAGTCAAAAACACCATCATTTAAATCTAATATTACAAATATGACAGATATGTGTCATTTATTAGATTACCAAACCTTTTCTTCTCCCTTTGCATAAAAGACCTGCTAAAATAGTTGGAACTGATACATATAATCTTTCCATCTCTCCCTACAGCTGTGGGCAGTTCAACATTCAGCTTCCCAGCATGAGCTGCAAAATCAACTATATTTGAGGGGACTGATCTCACTAAATGAATTCAAGGTGATTAGAAATTATTTGAATACAGTGATAAATGTTTTGCAGCCTCACTACATTTGACCTGCCATGATGTTTTCATAGTTTTGAAATATTTTACTTAAGTTTCTACACTTTATTCTTTATTTCATGTGTATAAATATGCTCACTGGGTGTGTATTGTTCTATTTCGTGCTGCTGCTCATCTTGTTCTGGAAAATTGTTCTGCTGCAAAAATATTTTAAATCTCCAAAGATCTACTTCCTAGTTAAGTAAAGGTTAAATAATCCTGCATGCTTCACTTTTACCTGCTGTTCTTCATCTCCTCCAGAAGCTGGGTGTAGAGTAGGCAAGAGTTGGAGGGGCTAGAAAGTGGGTTTGAGTGAAGACTGGGAACAGCTATTGAGTTTTGCTTGCCTCCTGATCCTGTTGTCAAGGAAACGATGGACAGGAAGAGAATAACCAACGCTGCCCACTGAACCCAAGACAGGCGCCTCCTGTAGGAAAAGGCCAAGTAAAAAACAAGAAACAAATGACGCTTAATCTATTAGCTTATGATATACAGTAATAAAAATAACAGCCTGAAGATCAAATTACCTGTGAGTGCTTTAGTGCACTGGGACAAGCAAAACACATTCAGTAACAGTGTTCAATGGTATAGGAGACCATTCTCACTCACATGCACACTTTGGTCCGCTTACAATTGGAAAACATGAAAAAAATGTCTTTTTTCCTCAAGAGACCAACCAAATAAAATCTTAAAATATCACCTCTCATTCCACAATCAAACACACACAACATGTTTCTGAAGAACAGTTGAGTTAAAAGTGAAACTTACTTCAAAACTATTCTAAAGAGCACAGCTGTGGTCAGGATGACAAAGTTGGAGAACAACACTGCCATAGCCTGGGAACAAAAAAAACAGCAGCAGCTCAGCACATTTAAAGCATCAAATGTGCAGGACATTTTGTTAATGCCAGTCTGATATGAAAAGCTCAAATCTACAAACTGGAAAATGAGATTTGGATGTTAACAAAGGGTTAAAAAAATTTGCAGTCCAGGCAACCACATTTCCCTCTAGCAGATCTCATTTAGCAAACATCTTAAATATCTTATCTGTACTGACGGGCTGCAGGTAGCTCATAACATAGAAGATGATGAGGTTGTCAAGAAAGTAAAGGAAAGCAGGGACGGCCCACTTCAGGGAGCTGAGGAAGGAAGAGCTGGAGGCACAACCCAAATCTCTGCATGATCGGCCCTCTGTAGTAACAGAAAGAAAGAGTCAACGAACATCCTTCACTCATGGAACACAGAATGAGGTCAGATGAACTTATGAACACAAATATTAGTTGTAAGACTTGTCGTGGTTTTTGTCATATTCGAGACATGATAAATACTAATACCCAGGTTATTGATCCCTTCTATTTTGTAATGGTTAATTCAACATTCCTGTTGCCACTGACCTTAAGGGTTGACCTTATTTTGACTGGCCATCATTCACTAACCTGTCTCCAAATACTTCATTAGTTTAGATTTTTAGTGCCTTCTACGATCTAAGCTAGCAGGTGTATTGAAATCTAAAAGTAATTTCAACAGTCAGTCACACCTATGTATGATAAACTAATAGGTACAATCCCAAAATTCTGGAGACACAGGACTTTATAATAAATAACACATAATTAATAATTCATTAATAATGGTCCTCTACAGGAAATTGGGCCAGTCTGACAGAAAGATTCTCTTGATGAGTTTGTAAACTTTTAGCTTTTCCCTGTGATTGGGTTTGTTTCCACACAGAGAAGAAATCAAGTGAACTCCACACAAACCAAACTGCGTCACTACAAACAATGTGACAATGTTCAGTTTGCTCAGCAGCCAGATGTGTCGGGCTGGGAGCAACAAAAGTAAACGCAGGAAGAAGGTGCTGAACACAGAGAATTTACATTTATTTCATGGTTAGCTGCTAGCTCGTACAGACCTTTGCACATCTATAGTACCTTTCGATGCTGAGATTACAAAGCATACATTGCTATGGGATGGGGGTTTTTTTATAGCTCAAACTACACCTTCACACCATAAACAAACCGCTCTGGAGTCAATTTGGAACTGTACTGAGACCACTTCCTCCAAAGGGTCTCGGTGCTGTTCTTTTCATCCGCTCCTGAGTGCAGTCACACCTGCACGAACGAACTACACCAAGGAGGGAAAACGAACTAGAGTTTGATTTAAACAGACAAAACACCGCAGGTGAGAAAACACTTCGAGATGTGATATGAAACCAGAACATAAGCTGATCCCAACTAGGACACACACGCAGGCATCAAAGTTTACCTCGGACTATGACCCTGACTGACATGACCAGACAGAAGAGCAGTTTAAGAGCCTCGGCAAGCAGATTTACAGATGCTGGGAGGAAGTCATACTTGTTTTCTGCAAAAAGAACAAAATGTGAAGACACGTGCTGAGCAAGCTGCCAACACATCACTGTAATGCACGCAAAAAAAATTAACACTGTTTTTTAAATCTTTTTATCCAGCTGTGAAAAAAAAAAAAGTTGTGTGCATGTGTTTACTGTCAGGTAATCACCGGCATTGGCAGACATTTTCAGAAGTAGGATGCGGCTGGTCCCCAGTGTTACAAAGCCTAGCCCGAGAGCAAGAGTGTAGGCTGATGAGCGGGAGCACAGCCTGGGGCACAAGGGGCAGCATGCCATGGCTGCGACTGGAAATGGATCCAGCCAAACCTGCTGGAATACATACAACCATGCACGCACACATGTTTATCAGACTTCCCCTTTACATTATGATTATTATACTGCCAAAGAATTTTTTAAAACTTCAATATTCAGTAAGATGACCTTTATATTCCAAGAAATCTATGTATCAGGCAAGCTTTCAGGTCAATTCTTTAAGTAATCCAAGAGTTTTATGTGGATGTTGGCTGTTTTTCTTTATTCTCTGTCAAACTATGACTCAATAAGCACTGTTGCAACAGGGCTCACAGGGATTTTCAGTCTGGTTATTGTGTCATTTGGCATACCATAACATTTTCTTCCAATTTCCCTTCCTTAAGAGTAATTTTTTGACAGCCACCCTCACACTGATACCATTTCTGATGCGGCTTCAGTAAGCAGTATATGGATCAACTGCAAGCCCAGATGCATCTCTCAGGTCCTATGTCAGGTCTTTGCTGCATTTTTTCACGCTGATTCTAAAGAACGTGACTTTGAGATACTGTTAATCAGCTGTGGGCAGGTTTTTAAGCCTGCCACTTCTTCTTTTGTCCTCCACTTGTCTACCTTCCTTTTGCTTTTAAAGACACGCTGCACACCACGCTGAGATATGCCAAGTTTTCAGCTAACACTTCTTTGGTGCAAAAAATACAATTTTGTCCCTGTCAAACAGCATTATCCTGGGCATTTGTTGTATATTCAAATAAGTAAATGGGCACAAATTCTGTGTTTTTGTGAGAGGCAGCAAGTAATAAAGTGGCTAGAAATATATTTTAATATTGCCTCTTTGCTCAGTTGTTTGTTATGTGCAGACACAACACTGAGTTGGGCTCTCCTATTCTCGAATAATTCACAGGTCAGTGTTAAGTGGCTTATCAAACAAACAAAAATAAATAAATAAAAGTTCCTCTGAAAATAATCAGGTACAGTGACTGGACTGAAAATTTGTTTTTCTTTAAAAAAAAAAAAAAAAAGCCGCCAATAGCCACAAATGAGGGAAGCTTCAATATTTTAGCACAGTACTGTATATCCACAATTTCACCAAGACAAAAAAAACACTCCCTGCTTAAGCAATAAGTATTGGTGCTGGGGGGGTTTCTGTTCACTAATTTAACAAAAAATAATAATAATAATAATAATAATGATTACACTAGATAGCTATAATAACTACTGAATGATGTTTTAAAAGTACTCTTGCTTTCATTTAAGCTTATTTGATACAGTGCTTCCTCTCCTTTACCTACTCACAAGAGAAAATACGTGTTTTGTACTCTTGCAATAAGGCGTTTGGGGGAAAAACGCGACTTACATTACCATGATCTTGGCGTCTGAGAACCTACACAGACCTAAATACACAGAATTTAAACACCGACACTTTGCTAAAATACGTAGTTATATTTGACTTTTACAAAGACTTACTGACTTAAGAACTAACAAAACAAACTAACGGCAAATTAGTCGACAGTTTTTAGAAATCAACTTCCAGCTTTTGAGATAATTTAAACTCCATTGCCATGTCCAATAATACTCATAAAACTTATAAAAATCACCCGAAAATTGGCAGGACGGTAAGTTAGACTGTTCAAACACACAAAATTCAACACACAGCTCTATTAGCACAGAGGTGGCCTTGCATCACTAGCCTTTAAATCGTCACCTTTATGCCAATAAACGCCGATAAAACACGCTTGTTCTTTTAAATATTCGGAAATTATTTTTGAGGCCACTGTCCATAACATGAGAAAACAGGGCAGTGTTATAAATACCTGCCTGTTAGTCTTCTTTAGTACAAAACATAACCGAGGGATTGCATTTCGCCAACACTACCGCTTCCTGGTTGATCTGCGCAGGCGTTAAAACACAGGTTACGACGTCATCCCGTTTTGGGCTTTAGGGTTGACGTCACGCCGCATTGCATTGTGGGATCGCGGCGCCATGACAGAAGGCCACAAATCAAAACAAACACACTATTGTGTTGGAAGCAGGACTATCAGAACCATGCTTAACCTCCTAGGACCTGCCGTCCACATATGTGGACATCACATTTGGGTTATTTAGACAAAAATACTCAATTATGCTCTACATGGGCCTGATATCCACTTACGAGAACATTATACTGCTACTGTTCTATCAAAATTTTAAATGAATATCCTCATTTGTGGCTCTCATTTTTCTTAAAAACAAAAATAAGGTAAAAGAAAATCTGGTAATTCTTTGTTTTTACATTCATCGGGCCCCAATATGCCCAAATATCAAAGAGAAATTAAAAATGCATGTCGTGGAAGAGTTCGGGTCTTAGGAGGATAAAATCAGCGCAAAAGACAAAGGGCTGTATCACGACCGAGTGCGCCCAGATGCCAAGAGACGGCCGTACTTGGAAAAAATGGCGTGCATCGGTAATGTGCACCCGTATGAAATAAGGCAGTGAAGTGGAAACTCTGTGTTCACGGGACAAGAAAATAAAGCACAATCGAGACAAGGGGAAATAAGAGACAAGAGAAAAACGATACACGAATAAAAGCGTATGAGGCTGCGTCTACACGTACCCGGGTATTTTTGAAAACGCAGATTTTTCTATGGGTTTGCACCTTTCCTCCACACGCAAACTGCGTTTTCGGTAGGGATGGGTATCGTTTAGGTTTTATCCGATACCGGTGCCAAATCGGTACTTTTGAAACGGTGCCGGTGCTCAAACGGTGCTCAAACCGGTGCTTAAAGAATGGAGAACACAAAAGTGGTCCAAAAACCTCTCATGTTCAGCTGTTTTTTGTAAAAATATAACAATGTTAGCCTTTTCTGCAGCTATGGGGCATATATGGTATCACTCTTGGCTGGAAGCAGTGCAATGGAAAAAACACAAACTTTGTCCTAAACCTCTCATGTTTAACTGTTTTCCACTTTTTCTTTGGTCATTTTAGCCTTTTTAGCCAGGGTGAAGGGAGTATCTGCCATCAAACAAGAGGACAGCCGCATGTAGCTATGATGATGTTTGCTAGTTCACCTTACATGCATTAATGTAATAACGTGGTTAGCCTACTCAACGTAAATTAGCTACTCACGCAGAGAAGAACGGCTGCTGCCATCATCATCCGTCATCATTTCTGCTACACTGGCAGGGCTAGGGGCCAGGACTCTCCTCTTCGTGTTTTTGGGGGATGTTGCATAACAGGCAACCCACCCGCAGTAGATGTGCTCGGTGTGAGGTCTCGCAGCAAGCTATCAAATACAGCGCATTTCTGGGCTTTTAAAAAAAACGCTATGCGTCGCCAGGTGTTTCATCGGATTTGAGGTGTTACCTCCTTTGACAGTATCACAGTATCAGCTTAAAGCACTTGTTGCAGGCTGCTGAGTTTGCATATTTTGCTGCGAAGTACAGCCAGACTTTTGACCGCTTCGCCTTGGACATTTTTAATCTGTAGCTCTGCTCTAACAGAACGTACGTACCTGGCCCCGCCTACTATCCTCGGAAACGTAAAATGATTGGCTAGAATCTAAAGTGTATCACAGCTCAGGAAACAAAAGCACCGAAATAAAGCACCGAAATGTGCGCTGCTTTTCGGTCTGGTTACTACCGTTTATGTCAGAACGACACCGGTACCCATCCCTAGTTTTCGGTCACTTAAAACGGATATTTTTAAAAACGCCTGCCAGGGTGGAATTTTCGAAAACTCCGTTTTTGCGTTTAGGTGTGGACAAGAAAAACTGAGAAAATGCAGCGTCAAAGGTGTGCGCATTTTTTTGACGTCACACTGTGCGCCACGTTATTGTTTTGGTAAAATGAATTTCTACAATACTGTTACTGTTAATTGTACTCTCTGCAGTGTTTGAATGCTTACATATACACACACAGTTACTGTCCCTCCACCCATACGACTCGGTTCTGCTTCTATGCCCCAGCTTTGTTTACTTTTTCCCACCGAGGCTTCTAGACTTCTGATTGGCCAACATTTCTGCACGGTTAGGAATATATCGCCACCTGTTGCTTTCCCATGTTCCTAGCAGCGTTTTCCTTCATTTCTACCTTTACGTGTGGACGAGATTATTTTTTAAAATGAAAACGGAAAATCTCCGTTTTCAAAAATACCCGTGTACGTGTGGATGTAGAATGAGGATAGATTTTTTTGTCTTTGTTTTATGTAAATGTGATACTTTAAGTCACATCTTACTTAAAAATAATAATAAACTGGTAAACACTAAGTGAATGTCCAGATATGAGTTTAGGCTACATTCAACAGTATTTCAACTGCGTGAAATTGGGGTAAACCAGAATGACGTGTGGCCACACCTATTACACTTACAGTGATGCTTCCCAGAAATTATGGCATGTTTTTAAGAGTGGTTTTCTGGAACATTCTTAGGCCAGAGAAATTTATGATCAGAATTTCAACACTTATTCCCACCATCAACACCCTTCGGGCATGACTCACAGCAACGCACATATGTTTCCGGTTGCAAAAGGAAAAAAAAATATGCAGAGGCGCAGTTCATTGCCCTGGGACATAATGTTTGAACTAGCAAGTGTGGGTATGTGTACGTGTGTCAGTGGCAGATAAAGCACACAGCAGACTGTCTGTCAGCTCCCACATTCTTGAGTTGTAGAAGAGAGCACACTCTCTGATCATAAGTATGAGGCTTCGTGTCCGGACTGGAGCTTGCTGGCTCCTACCTGTCCTGGTTCTTCTGACTGCCCACCAGGTCAAAGCAAACCAGCCTCAGCCTAAGGAGAGACATTACTACATTGCTGCTGTGGAGATAGATTGGAAATACTCTGGCAACGACACAGACGGGTAGGACAGCACTTCAAACTTTGATAAAGAGTAACTGGAATGCTTTTTTGTCTTTTGTTTTTTTGCATCTAGTAACTTTATTATTGTATTTTTAAAAATCCGTTTTATTATGAAATCAGTAGTCACACCTTGTTAAATCAGTAAATTTCACATCTTAGACTCTATGCACCATTTTGTAAGTATTGTGGGGATTTTCTTATGTGTGCACAATGAGTAATGTTTTGTGTTTTTCCACCCTTCCTTAGGTCTGGACCCACCTATAAGAAAGTGGTCTTTCGGGAATATGAGAAAGGCTTTAGACAGGCTAAGACTCATCCATCGTGGTTAGGTACATGCTTCATGCGGTTTACATGAACACACCGTATGTCTGGTTTAAATTTTTAAGTAACACTTGCGCTGTCTGCACATTAACTAACCTGTGAGATAGAGGGGTGTATTTACCAATAACGTTCCCAGAAAGCAGTCACCATGTACATGCATGTATATTAGAGACTTAATGAACCAGTGTTGAGGAGCTTTTAAGGTGCCCTGGTGTCACGCAGTGGGAAAAAAACACAGACAGTCGCTATCAAATGCACTCTTTTTACTTTAGGACACATTAGGTTATTATTATTCATTTAATGTATCACTCCGAGTGCATATTAATGGATAAGCAGCTACCACTTTTACTAATTTTTCTCTGAAGGAACTGAATTACAAGGTTGGACTTTCTCCCTTCCACCTCTTATGTGGTGCCAAAGCATATATTCATTTGCAGGATAGTGAAATAACAGTCACAGAATAATTCCTTTCCCAGAAAGCAAGAAAAAAATATAAAGCTGTATTTACAAAAAAGAAGGTTACTTTCATTTTATTGCAAATGTTTACGGTCAAGTTGCTGTGCAAGTCAACAGTTAAAGAGAAAGAGTGATGAGTCAGTCTGTGTTTATCCGAGTGTGTCCCTGTGATGAACTAAAGCCTTTGAAACGACATGATTCCACATAAATAAACTTCTCTGCAGGTCTCCTTGGTCCCACGCTGAGGGCAGAAGAAGGGGAGACGATTGTTGTAACTTTCAGAAACATGGCCACCAGCCCGTATAGCATCAGCCCACACGGTGTGGCTTATGGGAAACAGTCTGAGGGTGAGTGCGTATTAACCCAGCTGCTAACAGATGAATGCAAAAGATGCTGTTATCCTTAAAACAACAGTACCACTACTTCATAACATTTTCTGCCTCATAATGTTACTGTGAGTGCTTGTGATGTCCCTTATTGTAATAATTACACAACATTAGCCAATACAACAAACAAATCTGTTTGACTTCTTCTAAAATATTAACCAGGCAGGCAGATTATCAAAGCAGACAGTTCTGAAGTCCAACAGGAAGAACTGCTAAGCCTTACGAAATCACTCTCTGAGACTTACAGGAATTAAAGTGAACTTAGGAAATTGAGGCAAAGTGTTGCTTAATTTGCTCTTAATACAAAAGTCAGAGTACACAGGAAACACAAAAATGAAAGAAAACCATGCAGGAGAGTCTCTATTATCTTTGTAAACTGTTCAAAGCTGGTTATAAAAAAAGCTCAAAATCTTCTCAGACTTCCACATACCACAGACAACGAAAGAGCGAACTAAAGGAGGCAGCTTTATTTAGGGTGTAAAAACTAACATTAAACACAAAACTAAACTAGAAACTGGAAACTACAAACTTCAACTAGAACACAAGAAAACGAACCAGGAAGAGTAAACTCGGGAACGGCTAGGAACACGGAGGAAAACACACAGTATTGTGAGAGTACAACGCAATAACAAGCAGGGGAAGACTGAGAACTAAAATACACACGTAGGAAACGAGAGGACTGGGGAAAAGGTGGAAACACAGATGTAAAAACTCAAACACTGAACACAAGGCGGGGACTATCAAAATAAAACAGGAAACACACGAGATGCACAGAGGCATGGATTTGATACTGAACAGAGGGAACACGGAGCACAGGGACAGGAGCGGCATGAGACACGACTGACTGGGGAACAAGAAAATAAACATGAAGACAGAACAAAATCCACACTAAACATGAGGGGCACAAGAACAAA